AATTACTATGGATCTTCATCAAGTAACGGCCGAATCAATCAGAATATTAAATTTCTTGTCTTATCTTGAAATCTAATATTATTTCTTGTCTTGATCTTGTCTTGAAATCAAGACAAGATCTTGACATTTTCAAGAATTTGGCGACCCCTAGTCTCGGAGCTAACACATAGATGGCGCTAACACATTCACCGCTTTTTCAGTTAGTACTAACCCTCAAAAGAATCATGATATTCTACTCATAAGTTTGTGAAATACTGTTCTAAGAGTGACCCTACTTTTGTTATTTTCAAAACAATGGACCAAAAACAATTTCGTGTTTCAATTTTACACTGCTATGAGAAAAATATCGCTCGAGCGAAGCAATGGCTTGAAAAGTGTTATAAGGACTCTGCTCCACCAGAAACAACAAATAAACGTTCGTTCGCAAACGTTGTCGTAGAGACACCGATGATGAAGAACGCAGTGGACGTCCAAATGATCGAAAAGTGAAGTTGCGTGAGTTAGCTGACATTATAAAGATATCAAAAGAACGTGTTGGCTTTATATTGCAAGAGCATTTGTGGGTGCTGCGCGAGCTCCCTGTCGACCAAAAACAAGAACGTCTTGATGATTTTGAGCACTGTTTGGCCATGTTTGAGCATAAAAAAATCGGAATTTTTGCATTGACATGTGACAATGGATCACTTCACTCCAGAATATGAGTGGAGAGCAACTGGTGAATCCCGTCCAAAGCGGCGAAAGCACAATAATCGGCTGGACAGATCATGGCCTCGGTATTTTGGGATGTGCGTGGTGTAATATTCATCGACTATCTTGAGACAAGGCCGTAGCCAGAAAACAATTTCGGAGGGGGGGGGGTTTAGTTTGGTGGAACAGTAGAAAAACATGAAATATAAAAATAAGGAAAGAAAGAAAATGGTGTTACATGAAAATGTATATTCATTAGAAAACCTTTACAGAAATATTAACATCTTTTTACAAAATCATATTTAGTTTTCTAACTTTTTTTGCAGCAAACAAATTCTACCGTTTAGTCGTTCCTGGCTTGTGGAGTTTCTTAAATCAGTTTTGAGGCGTTTCAGAGAAGAAAAAGTCCTTTCAGTGGTAACAGGTAGTGTCGCCAAGAACTTTAAAAGTTTGTACGTAAGTTTGTACCGTAAGGTTTTTTCATTGTGTTTTGGGGAAGTTTTTTTTCAATATTCTCTTTCAAGCACTTGGTTCGTTTTGCCAAGGACTTGATAAAATTTCTAACGGATTTTATAATTCCAATAGTATCTGTATCTGTAGAGTAGGGAGGGTGAGTGTAGAGAGGGTGAGTGTAGGCCCACAGCACTTAGGCCACATGTGACCCATTGTACATCCTCCCGAGGAGTTGTCCTCCTAGGTCATCGTCCATCCTGACTTTTCCAGGAAGGTGGACAGGACACGAGGAGACATCTCCTTTATATCGGCAGGTGTAGGCCACGACTCGCCGAATACACAGTCTCTTATTGACGACAACTCCGGGCACTCGCATAGGATATGCCTGCATAGGCTTAGTGATCCTGAGTACACTCAGGATCACTAAGCGTATTGCATTTGTGGTATCTGACTTCGTGTTGTGTTTTATCTGTATTTTGTAGAGTTTAATAAACACAAACCTTGGTTTAATTGCATCACTGGTTGCCTGCAGCAGAAGTTGCGCAGTAGGCGCTTCTCGCCATAGGCTCAACCTCAATTGACCCATTCCTACTTCGAGGTTTACACCAGCCGTGCGCAATCGTACCATGGCCATTAACGCAACCTTCTTAATGTACAGGTCCAGAGGGGACATACTAGTGATTAATTCCATCATTGCTGTTGGTGTTGTTCTCATGGCTCCTGTGATGTTTAAGCAAGCCAATCATTGTATTTGATATAATTTTTGGATGGCCGTTGCTTGTAGAACTTACGAGGGGGATCAATCCCCCTTGATCCCCCCTGACTACGGCCTTGTCTTGAGAAGGGAAATACCATCAACACTGAATATTATATAGCGTTATTGGAGTGTTTGAAGGCCGAAATTACGCATATGGCAAATAAAAAAATGTGTTTCATCAAGACAACGCACCGTGTCACAAGTCAACCAAAACAAGGTCAAAACTACATGAATTGAACTTCGAATTGCTCCCAGATCCACCGTATTTGCCAGATTTGGCTCTCAGCGATTACTGGCGGTTCGCAGACCTCAAAAAAATGCTCACCGGTAAAAATTTCTATCGAATTGAGAGGTTATTGCTGAAATTGAGGCCTATTTTGAGGCAAAAAAGATAAATCGTTCTACAAAAGTGGTATTGAAATGTTATAGAGCGGCGCTGGAATGATTGTGTAGCTCTTGATGGAGATTACGTTGATGAATAAAGCCAATGTAGAACAAAAAAAACGCGTTTTCTTTTTTAGGTTCGTGACTTTTTATCCCAAGAGTTCCTCATTTTTTTATAGTTTCGAAGAAGTTGAAAGACAATAAAAATCTTGAAAATAGTCTGTGCAACTGACATTCTTCAATTTGAATAATCGAGTTTAAAGTTTACATGTAATTGCATAATCCACGTTTATCTCAATAGAAAATATCCGCGCTTTCCCTGAAACTTTTTCATATACGACGGATTATTTTCTGATTTTTTGGAAATTTCGTCAATGAAGTAGAGAAAGAACCCTATATAATCTACACAAATTGATTTGCATACTGAAAATAATGAAAATTTAATTTTGATTCGATTATTACAACAAATGAATCCCAAAAAATGAGTCTACCTCTGGACAAGATTCAACAAACCGAGACACAAACATTGAAATTGCTGATATCTCTTAATTAGAAATATTTTATCGGTAATGAGAAAATTTGTATTGTAAATAACGAATTGATATCATAAGAATTCCTATCTGATATTGTATCCACTTGCTTCACAAATTCCACGGGAGTTCTAACTCCTGTATACCTGCAACTTTCTTATGGTCCTTTTTTGATAGCCTCATCCTATAGTATTCATACACTTTTTATTTATCTATACTTGTAGTCCAATGAGAAACTCCATGTTTCATAACTTTCAAAATACATTTTTAGTGTTCTTGAAGTTTAAACGGAATTTTGAAAGGAGATAGATATGGGCGAATGTCAAAACGGTTTGAATAACCTTGATAAAAAATCTAATATGTCAAACATTCAACAACTTTCTTAAAAAAAAAGATACTATTTTTTTTTCGTTTTTTATTAGGTATAGAAGAGTGTTTTTTTTTAAATACAGCTGAACAAAAACGATAAAATGTGAAAAATTCAACATATGTCACAATTTTATAACCAATATGAAAAGTACTGAATCTGATTGATTTAGATAAAAACAAACAGTGAAATGTGAAATGTACCTACAGATGGATTAACTAGTGTTTTGGTTCAATTTTGCATGATAAATCCTGTAAAAACTGCCTTATATTTAAAAAAAATTGGAATTCTATGTAAAATAGGATACCAAAAAGTGATACCAAGAAGTGAAGGAAAAAATAGATCACTTTGACACACCTTAAGGACTTCAGTCCTTGAGCTATCGATTATTGCAAACAGAAATGAAAAATATTGAATAACCTTCAGGTGGTGTCATCGAAAAAGACGTGTTTATATGTGTATTACGTGTATGTTCAACTTTTAGTGCCGATGATCTTATTGAAAAATGTGTTTAACAAATTTACCGAATCTGCTTGTGTTTTTTTAATAATTCAAATTTCTTTCTACAGATGTACTCCCCTATTCAATTGAAAATCATTAAAATCATCAGGTATTATTTCATGAAGAGAACTGAAAATCCAAGACAATCTTACTTGTACTATATGTGTATGCATATCTAATCATCTGTAACATAATTTCAAATAATTTTTTGAAAATTTCTATCCTCTGAAGACGAATACAATAAAAAATATTGGCGACAAATTTCACGATTTTGTCTCTGAATTTAATTTGAATCTAATTGTGCTTCGAAGCAAGAGAAAATGTTTAGAAAACCATGATATTTTGAAACACATTTGACGACAAAATAGTACTTAGTACCTCTACACAACTCCACCTTAAAATATTTCGAATAGGTATTAAGAAATATTCATGAAAAACATTTTACACAAGTTTTAAATAAGTATATAAGTATATAGAATCACATGTAATGTCTTGGACACGCAAAATTCAGCTATTTTGACTATCACCCCTGAAACTCTGAAAATACTGGAAAATTAGAAACCATTTTCACAATCCTGATACAGAGAACTCAAAAACACATTTCAAGTCCTAACCTGTTGTTCTTTTGAACTGGGCCTGTCTGTGGTTCAACATCTACTCTCCCTCGAGCAACATAATTATCATAAAAAAAAGAAAAGGCCATATTGTTTTCGAAAATCCATTCGGACAATAAGAAAATCAACACTCGCACATCATTTTCAACAACAGTTATTTTCAACGTGACGTTTCAATGCCTAATTGCCACCTACATCGTTCCTAACCTCATCGCCAACCATATGGTACAGCCCTTTAACATCAAAGAACCCAGCGTGTCATTAACCAGCCCAGTTACATAATTTGAACATTTTCAGATCTGCCACAACCTAGCGAAATCATTCGTTTCAATCATTCCTTCTCTGCTCATTCATCACATACTGTAAATTATTCTACGACCAGCGCCCCCTATTCGAACAGGATGTGGCCCCCCTCCGGTCCGGGGCTCCTTCTAGTGGAGCGCCTTCATCTAGCACCGCTTGCCTACGAGACACCCGGCCTGAGGCCTCTCCGAACGATACCGTTCGGCGATTTGACAGCAGCACTCTCTCACGTAGAGCATTTGTTTTGCTTTATTTTCGATAGTTTACAGGCTACGTAGCTAGTTATTTTCCGCAAATTCGGCATTCGTAGTGTCTACACCGCTTCTACGGCTACAAAAGTTCATGCATTACGGCTAAAAGTTTCAGAAAAACTTGAAAAAGTAGGTATAAACAAAGCTAATGACCTGTTAGACGATTTCCTCTGAAACAGCACACTTTCCACCACAAGTTCCGCGTAAAGCCAAGTATTTTCTCTGTATTTGATATCGCGAAAGCTTAGTACGAACAAAACCGTTGTCAAATTCACTGCCGTCCTAACTTTAAGGGGTAAATAACTATAAAAACAAATGAAGGGTTTCTTACCTTACCCTGATTGTTAGTCACAACGCCACCTATGTTATACGCGTCGCTGTTGTTTCACGTTTCACCAAAAGCACGTATTCCATCAACGATAACGAGCGCTACCGATAGCACCCGAACACTCGACGAGACACATGTTTGCTATGAACTGGCTAATAAAATTATCTAAATTTATTACAAATAGACAAATTTCGGACGGATTTCAGGTAGATTCTGCAAATTCCCTTCTTACCGGATTACAATCGGCAGAAATGTTCGAACTTTGAGCTCTATTCGCCTCTGTAAATCAATATTCAGTTCTTCGGAAACAATCACCTATGACAAAACTTCTAGAATTATTTTTACTTGTCATGTTGATAGGGACGTGGTTCTTTCGCCAGGAATTTCTCTGACGGTTCGGATAGTTGTCGCTAGGCGGCTTGGCAAATCGCCTCGTTTCTTGGAATAACAATTTTGATTAATTTCCCGATGATGTTTTTCAAGGCTATCGCTTCGTTTTTGAAACCGAGCTAACTACGACTATTTTATAGGTATCGCTTTTGACTGTAGAGTCCTGATTACGATTTCGGAATAAAAAAAAATATGAAATTGGAGGGGCGGATACATGCCGACGATTGTTGAAAAGGTTGTGCGTAGTCGCTATGACGTGTTTGCGTAGTAATTTCGTAGTTCGCTTACGTTTCACTTCGGATTGAAGAACGTTTTCAATAGTGACTCATAGTCTTTGTGACCTAAAAACAGGAAAATCCTGTATTTTGACTGCTGCATGCGGTGCTATTGCTGCAATGGCTATTTTGAAACTCCCATGCGGAGTTTAGTAATGTTTAAAATTATAGCAGACGCGGTTTTGAGTAATTTCAGATGAATACTCTAGTAATTATTCAATCTGAAGAGTTTTCTTATCGGTAATGTTGAAACCGATTGGTTTTCATGAGCATCCATTGAAGCAAACGTTTGTCAAATAGTTCATAGCGAATACTGTTAGTTCTAGAGATACTTTTGAGATACCCGAAGTAACTTCATGAAATTACATCAAAGTTGCTTTCAATTGAGAATAAATGAAAATTTTCGATCTGAGCAAATACAGGAAAATATAAGTTACCTACCTTGAATCAGAAATTAAGTGAAACATTGTGGACTTTTGATGAACTAACTTATTATCTACTACATTGGGGTAGTTTTGTCAAAATGTTGGTAGTTATTTATCAAATGTTATTTGAGATTAAGAGATAGGACAAACTATTTTTGGTAACCATTAACCGAATTTAACTTTAATTTCATGTGATAACTAGTACCTAACAGAAGGGAATTTCATAAAATTTATCGTGCTTTTTCATTAATTCGTGGAAAGATTTGAATGATTTCACAAGCTGAAAAGTGGTTTATTATTTTTGAATGTAATACCTATATTTCACTTGGTAATATTCCAAAATGTATTAATTATATGATATTGCGTAATATTAGTTCACATCATACCTGCACAAACAGGAAGTTTTGTGATTTTTGCAGGCATTTATATAGGTATTCCTTTTCTAGTTCAACATAATATATCTATACCTACTATGAACGATAGTCATTTTTTTGTAGAGGAAAAACAGTTTTTCATCTATATCTGTCGATGAAGTTGAGAAATAGGAATAATCGGCAAAGGAAAAGCTGTGTATAGACCTAAATGGTTTGACTATTTCTGAAAAGGCCAAAATCGGCCTCTGAAACGTTAAAATAAATACTGTATAAATAAAATTTCAAGTTTTTTTTAATACGCAAAAATATCAAATACAAGTTACTGATAGATAGAACATTTTTCTTTATGAAAAATACTTTGAATTTATGCAGTAACTTATCGCAGTGAAATAAAAAGTTTGCCTTTTCTACACTTGTATTAAAGTTCTCCATTACAATTGTAATTTCCTTTAATACTTTTCAAGAAAATATAAAATTTTACTTTTTTGACGTCTATTGACCTTTTCTGACAATCAACAACAATAACTTTTTTATAAAACATATCTCATTCACAGCTAACTGAATGGAACAAAAAAATATACTGAATGATACATGAACTACATAGATTTGGAAGCAACAAATAAACAAAATATTTAATCTGTAACAACAATTTTTAGGGGTCGACAAGACAAGAATTCTTGTCTTGATAACAACTTCTTGTCTTGAGAAAAAATCATGAAATTTAAAAAAAATCTTGTCTTGAAGTTTTCTTGAAATCTTATAAAGTATCTTGTCTTGACTCAAGAAATTTCAAGATCTTTAAATTTCGTGATTACCTGGTCCGGTGATTCCCGAACGCAAAATTAATGTGCAGTTGCTTGCTTTTGGCTCCGATTCTAGCTCAGAATATTTACCAAAAAGCAATAGACACAAACGTAAGCGTTTCGGTTTTAGTAGATATGAAATAATCAGTGAGACTAACACGACTACTAGTGCGAGTGGGAATACTGAAACTTACAAAACTGAAATCAGTGAAACTGTGGCTGTCTGCGATAGTGGCAGCAAAATAAAAAAGAAGCATCATTTACCAATCGAGGATAGTGGTAGTAGTATTACTAGAAGCGATACTGGCACTACAACCAAAAATTTTGAAATTGAGGTGGACACCAGTACCAATGGCAAAAACAAAAATGATAATTTAGCTAAATGTATACCATGTTTTCATGTGTTCAAATGTCTTCCTAAAAATGAAAACCTCAGGGACTTCTGAGTTGAAAAGACACTTGAAAGCAACGCATGGGATGTTATTTGACAAAAAGTTTTCTCAAGGAGTGCCTGATCGAAGCAAATTTCAATGTTCTGCGTCAAGTGGAAGTAATAGTATTTTAGATTGGATGAACCGAAGTCAGAGTAAGTTTAGATTTAATAGAATAGTTTATATTCATTATCATTTCCGATTTAAACATGTGCTAAATTTGTTATTTGAAATAAAATATAGTTTGCAATTTTATTTTCAACAGGATTAGGTTAATATCATTTATTATTTTCAATTCACATTTTTGTAAAACGTTTTAGCAAAAAAAGTGTTTGATAAATTAAAATATGTTATGTTACGTTAAAATATATTATCTTTTTTTTACAAATAAATACGTTTCAAAGTTTTCATTGTTAGTCAAGATATTTCAAGATTTTTTGACAAGAAATCTTGGTATTGACATACAATTTCTTGTCTTGTCTTCTTGTCTTGAAATCAAGACAAGATCTTGAAATTTTTTTATGTTTTCTGGTGTCACTGCCTCATTTGGACGTCCACTGCGTTCCACATCATCGGTGTCTCTACGACCACGTTTGAAGTCAGCAAACCAACGTTCAATTGTTGTTTCTGATGGAAAAGAGTCCTTATAATACGTTTCAAGCAGTCTAAAATTGAAACATGAAATTGTTTTTGATCCATTGTTTTCAAAATACAAAAGTAGTTTCACTCTTAGCACAATAACCCACAAAGTTATGAGTAGAATAACATAAAATTTCAACAGCTTCCTTTTGAATTTCAGTACCAATTGAAAAAGCGGTTAATGCAATTCGACCAACGTCATCTATTTGTTAGGCCCTTGACTTTTCAGCCCATGTAGTATACTTATACTTCAAAAGACATCTATTTTTTAGGTAAGTCAATGTTTCTTGAACTTTTCTGGATGTTTTAGCCTTCCACAATCTGAAAAAGCTATCTAATTAACTCTCAAGTTTTCAGTAAATTGTTTTTATAAATTTGAGACGCAAATAAGATGATGTTAATTTTTAAAAAATTATGAAAAAGGTTGGTGTTTGTAATATCAGATCCTTTCCATTTTCAATATCTGATTTTATTTTTGAATCTGATTTGTTTTCATGTTTTGTTTTCGAATAACTGAAAAATCATTTTTTTAATTCATTTTTAATTATTCTTTCAAACTTGTAATGCACTATTTGGAACCTTTGGTGTAGTAATGAATATTACTGGAGTTTTTTTCCACCAAACCGTTATTTTTAAACGTGTTTCGTTCACCAAATGATCATCTTCAAGAGGAAGATCAAACTAATCCTATTTACAAAGATTTCCTTTCTCAACAAGCTATATAGTATACTATCAGGTATTGGTCCACCATCGTTATTCATAATATTATTATATTTACTTATTTCTACACACTCAGAGGCATCTAGATGCCTATTGTAACTAATCTTAATGAACTGAGGTCTATGGAATGGTTTTGTTGCAAAATATGATGGGCGACTGCTGATTTTTTAGGTCTTCCATATTTTAAGTCAGCTAGGTGTTCCTAATATCTTTTTTTTTAATAGATCTTTTTGTCTGTTTAGTTCATAATATATTGCATTGCAGTCCTTACATTCAATTTCGTAAAGTCCAGACTTTTCTGAACTCTCGACTTTGTCTTTCGGACTTCCTAAAAGGCTCTGTAGTGTATGACTTGTTTTAAAAACCACCTTCATACCTAATTCCTTGAAAATATTTCCAAAGTTCTTCGTGTATTGGTGATATGGAACTGAGATATATTTATCTTGGTTGATGTCGTTTTTGAAAGTCGAGATTTCGTTCATTCTTAACCTAAACTTGTAGATGACATAATAAGAAAGAAAAAGTTAGGTTGAGAATCAACGAATTCTTGACTTTTGAAAATGACAAAAACGAAGATAAATATATCTCAGTTGCATTTCGCCAATACACGAAGAACTTTGGGAAGATTTTCAAGGAACTAGGTATGAAGGTGGTTTTTAAAACAAGGCATACACTACAGAGCCTTTTAGGAAGTCCAAAAGACAAAGTCGAGAGTTCGGAAAAGTCTGGAATTTACGAAATTAAATGTGAGGACTGCGAAGCAAAATTTTATCTATGGACAGGCAAAAATATCTATTAAAATAAGGTATAAGGAACACTTAGCTCACTTAAAATATGGAAGACCTGAAAAAATTAGTAGTCCCCCATCATATTTTGCAACAAAACCATTCCATAGACTTCAGTTTATTAAGATTAGTTACACAAGTTAACAACAACA